AGAGCAGCGCCCCAGGCCGACCTCACAAAGGGCGCGGGGGACGGGACCGGGCCTGCTAGAAACCCGCCTGGCCGCGCAGAAAACGCTTCATGACCCCGGGGCTGCCCTGCCCCCTCCTGGGACGCTGCAGCTCCTGGCCCAAGGCCCTACCAGCCCTGCTGCGCCCCAGGATGATTTGAGAAGGGGCCTGGCCGCGCAGAAAACGCTTCATGACCCCGGGGCTGCCCTGCCCCCTCCTGGGACGCTGCAGCTCCTGGCCCAAGGCCCTACCAGCCCTGCTGCGCCCCAGGATGATTTGAGAAGGGGCTCTCCGGAAAGGCGCTGGAGCCTTGACACAGCCCAAGGGAAACACCAGCTCCAGCCCGTGGTGGTCTTGGACTCACAGGCGGTGCCGCTTTGGGTGACGAAGAGGAAGATCCGTCATAAAAAGTCGGATGCGTGGTCCGCCTGTCGGGGAAATAATTGCCAGCAGCCCGTTTCCCCCTTTGCCCTGTCTGTAATCTCAGAAACGAAATCCAGAAGTAACAAGGTCATCCCCAGAGAGGATGGCGGAGGCTCCAGCCCGTGGTGGTCTTGGACTCACAGGCGGTGCCGCTTTGGGTGACGAAGAGGAAGATCCGTCATAAAAAGTCGGATGCGTGGTCCGCCTGTCGGGGAAATAATTGCCAGCAGCCCGTTTCCCCCTTTGCCCTGTCTGTAATCTCAGAAACGAAATCCAGAAGTAACAAGGTCATCCCCAGAGAGGATGGCGGAGGCACCCGGAGGCGTGGTGGTCTTGGACTCACAGGCGGTGCCGCTTTGGGTGACGAAGAGGAAGATCCGTCATAAAAAGTCGGATGCGTGGTCCGCCTGTCGGGGAAATAATTGCCAGCAGCCCGTTTCCCCCTTTGCCCTGTCTGTAATCTCAGAAACGAAATCCAGAAGTAACAAGGTCATCCCCAGAGAGGATGGCGGAGGCACCAGTAGAAAAGCCTGTATCAGTGGATTCAGCTCCAGCCGATGGGGGAAACAGGCAAGGCGCCAAGTCAGACGCAAGAATATAAAAACTCCATGGCAGTATGCTGATGGCTCCTTTCAAGAACAAATGAGGCAAAGAGGAATAGAGAGAGATGCCCTGGAAGTGTCATCGTCTCTTCTATTTGACTGTTCTTTCCTCAATGACTCCCAGCCGTGGGCCAGGGCTCGGGCATCTCTCTCTCTCCACAAGAAAAAGAAAGTTGCCATAGAGGAAGGAGCCAGTGGCAGCATCCCTTCTACGCCTTCTTTCAAATCACAGCTTGTAGGGTATCGTAAGTCCCCATTCATTCAAAGCGTTGGCTACAGTAATTGGCCCACCTCCTCAGTGCTCTTGCTGACTCCCATGAAGTCCCATTCTGTTCTGGAGGTGATGCTCACAGATGCAGAGAAAGTGTATGGGGAATGCCAACAGGAGGGTCCTATATCCTTTGAGGAATGTATTCCCCCAGATAAGATGAAGAACTGTTTGAAGATTGGGGAAGGAGTATTTGGGGAGGTATTCCAAACCACCAGTGAGAGAGGAGCTGTGGCTTTAAAAATCATTCCTGTTGAGGGGACTAAGAGGGTCAATGGAGAAGCTCAGAAGAACTTCAGTGAGATCTTGCCAGAGATGATAATCTCAAAGGAACTGAGCCTTTTGTCTCAGGATGTAGAGAACAGGACTATAGGGTTCATTGACTTGTACTCCGTGCACTGCGTCCAGGGGGCATATCCTGAGCATCTTTTGAAAGCCTGGGACAAATACCATGAACTGAATGGATCTGAAAATGATCGGCCAGACCTGTTTGGAGAGCAGCAGCTGTTCATGGTCCTAGAATTTGAATTCGGAGGCAATAACTTGGAGGACATGAGAAAGCAGTTAAATTCAGTGGCAACAGCAAAAAGCCTACTGCATCAAGTTACTGCTTCCTTAGCTGTGGCAGAGGAGGCCTTGCGTTTTGAGCACAGAGACTTGCACTGGGGGAATATCCTGGTTAAGAAAACCAATTTGAAGGAACTGAGTTATACTTTGAATGGAGCAGTTTATACAATCCCCACAAAAGGGATTCAAGTGAACATCATAGATTATACCCTGTCTAGAATGGAGAAAGATGGATTAACTGTCTTTTGTGATATTTCTACTGACAAAGAGCTATTCCAAGGAAGAGGTGACTACCAGTTTGATGTCTATAGGCAGATGAAAGAAGAGAATTCTAACAACTGGGCTGACTATCACCCCCATAGCAATGTCCTGTGGCTGCATTATGTGGCAGATAAACTTCTGAAAGAGGTAAAGTATAAAAGAAAGACATCTTCCTCCTCTGTCTGGAAAGGCATACAGAAGGAGCTTCAAAAGTTCCACAGAGAAGTCTTGAACTTTAGCTCTGCAGGTGATGTTCTACTCAATAGCAGCTTTTTTCAGTGATCAAAATGGACCTTAAAGTGAGCGATCACAAAATTATGTCCTTGTACTGGTACTTCCTTTGCTGTATTTTTGGATTATTTTAACTTTGATAAATTTGACATGGTGTAGAGAGTAAATGACCATGAATTAAATGTTTACGTATTTAGCTAAAATATGTAAAGATCTATTGTTGCCAAAAAATCTTGCAAAAGTCATAGTTCAAATATTAAAAATGGTTCTTCCACACGCTAAGTCCTTATTTTGAGCTAATTTAGAGACCATGAACTTTAAACTCTTTTGCCACTTACCTTAAATCACTAAAACTGATTATTTAAATGAGCCGTAGTAAAATCTAGTCTTTTCATTTCTCTCCCACACGAAAATTAAGATAAGACTAAATATTGCTAATACTTTTGAGGCATTCCTTTGTAATGAAAATTGGTTTTTGTTTCTCTTGTATAGACCCAGCTTTAAAAACATGCTCTTAGGGCTGGTGAATTTCCTGCTTTAGCAGAATCAATTTATGCCAGATTATAATATGTAAATCCTGACAGAAAATCAGATACAATACTCCCGGATTTTGTAGGAAAGCCAGGCTTCAAATCTGAATGCCTCAAAGTTTGTGGAAGAGGATTCACACACTGAAATAAAAAAAAAAAAAATACCTGTGTGTTTTTTACATTTTTCACGTTTGTAATATGATGACCTTGTATGATGACAGGAACCCAAATCTGTAATTTGATTTCAGCTCTAAAGCGGTTTTCCCCATTGATCTACAAAGGCAAATACACAAGAGAGGGTGAATGGTTGGCCCTAAAAATTAAACTACATCAATGTTATTAACTTTGTACCTACATTAAACTGGAACTCTTTGTTCTCAGGGAGTCCTTGACTAACATTCACATATAGTAGTGGAGTTGGCCTGCAGACAAAAAGATAAATCAGAATAAATGGAGCTTGCAGTGCTGTTACTGCAAATTAGTTCACGCTATAAATGATGGAAACTGATCTCTCAAATAGAGAAGGGAAAAAGTTATCACACATCCAATTTTAATAGAAGTCATGTTTATCTACACTTATTTTAAAGAGACAGCATTTTGAAATTTATTTACATATTTTCAAGTACTAGGGATGTCTCTGATTTTCCCCTGACTGATGGTTTTACTATCATATTTTTTAATTTTTCCCTCCCCTCTTGATATGAAAGACCAACATAAAATGAGAACCACCCATTTATATAGTGTTGTCAAACACACAAAGAAAGAAATCTCAGGATTTATCATAGAATCTAGTGATTCTTTTAACAATAGTGAGCTGTCTTCAATAATAAGGTTAATTAACGTTTTCATAGAAGAACAGCAATTCATAAAATAAATTTTAGTCTCAACAGGGTTCCCCTAACTCATTTTACCTCCAATACAGGTTTGTAAATGTGATACTATCAATATCACTTTCCTACACTGTAAGACTTACTTGGTAAGAACTGCAGTAAAAACATGTTTGACATGAAGTGTGTGTTCTTCAATCAAAGGAATGCTATTTTCATTTGCACTTTAAAAACAAAAAGGGTGGAAGACAGAACATTTTGTTATCCACTTGGGCTATATTTAATTTTTTTCCTTGTTTCTTAATGCCACTGTAGTTTGACACTTGCCAACAGGGACTTAATAAAAGGAGACTGAAGAGAATTATTGTCCATGTACAGTCAAGGGCGGTTTTCAAAAGCTGTTAGTGGTCTGAACTCCATAAATGTAATAAAGTAGTTATTCTGACATTTTCATTAACATTTCCCAACTCCCAATATTTCAAATATTTCAACCCTTGGGTGCTCCCATATGTGCAAAAAGCTTTACTAGCATAGTAGAAACTCATACAATAACATTCCCCTTCTGCTATGCAAGAATTCCAGATTTAGTTGCCTAAGGTTAGTCAAAATCTTTAGTCTCCTAAAATCAGTTTCCCGAGTTTCAAAGATGTTGACTGCTCATTCCTGTGGCCTTATTTCCCGCACTTAAGTCCATCTATTTAAGTGCTAAATTGAAGATTTAAATTCTTATCTTTGAAAATGGGTCAAGTACAATGTTGTGCCCTTGGTATAAATATGGCCATCATTATCTGTTGTATAGGCCTTAGGTTGTTTTTTTTTTCTAGGCTTGCTTGCCTTTCTCCCAACCCCCTAGAAATCTGTCACAGACTTCCTTTCTTCCCCACCTTCTTTCCCCAGACAGAATAGAAAAGGACAACAAATGGCTCTGAACACCAGCTTTCCCAGGGTCATTAAGTGAGTGGAGGAAATTAGTGCCCACACCATTCCTTATCTCCCCCAAAATCAATTGGGTCCTAAACAAAAAATCCACTTCACACAGCTGGGCTGTGTTCTTGAAAAACATACATGTGAACACACTGTTTTCCCTCTTGAAGAAGGGGGGGGGGTACTTGGTGTTCTGTGAGAGAGAGGGAAGTCAAGACCCTGCCCAAATCATAAGTAAGTTTGGTGGCTTTCCCATTCTCCATAATTTCAAAAAAAAAAAATAATCCACAGTTTATACATGCATGGATATTTCTAAAAGAAGGGAGGGTCAAATGAGTAGAGTTTCATACTGGCTCCCTACTGATTAATGGAGAAGGATTAAGTAAAATAGACTTATGACTTAGTTGGAAAAGGTCATTTCTTACTTTGTGATGTTAATAGTGATGTTCACATTCTCATCAGGAAATCTAGCTTCATCTAATTGCCAAATCACTGAAAATTGTGCCTATTACGAAGAAAGAGATTAAAAAAAGAAAAAGCAACCTGGGTATATTTACATTTTATTTAGTCTCACTGTGTTACTTTTAAAATAAGATTTAGTTAGATAATTTTGTCTAATTTCCCCTCCATTATTTGCTACATATTAATATGTATAATAGGAAAACATCCAAGGGACAAGTATATGCAAATAGCTAGTATAACAGTCAGGGCCCAGATGCCTGAAGAGGAGAAAACCCTCCCCAGAAACAAACAAAAAAATGCATATTATGTTATTTTACTGTACAAGTATTTTGAATATGGTCTTTTACCAAAAGCTTGTAATGTTCTGAAACTTCTGGTCACCACGAGATAAAGACTATGGTTATGAATGTATGTGTTTGTATATATAGAGCACTATGCTCAGAAGCTTTGCTTCCATCTCACATCACGTAGGTGAGCAATCAGACAGGGAGAAGCATCTCCCAAGCCAGATGTATACACACACACACACACACACACGACTCAATAACGATTCATTGTACAACCCAGGAACAGACAAATCACGAACCATTGGAATTCATGGTAAGACATTGGTATAACTGGGAATTCCCCACTTTTCTGTATCTATAATGGACTGAAGAATAAAACAGTAAAAGCTTTTAAAAGAATGTAGAGGTGGAAAGTGTACTGGAACCCCCCCCCCCCACACACACACACACACACACAGGTCAGAGGCATGCTGGGAAACTTTAAAGGCAAGAGGTGAATGGTATTAGAAAGAGAATTTTATCTGACACAGATGTTGAAAGCCTGAGTGTACATTTTTGTATCTACTGGATCACTTGCATGTTTGCTATCTCTCTATTCCAACTTTGAATCTGTGGTTTGTTTGTTTTTTTATTAAATAAATCTTTTGTTTATTTTTACTCCAAGCAGATCACTGTTGTGTAAAACATGTGGGAACCAAAGCAAGATGGTGTTGGGGCGTAGGGAGTGGTTTCACTCTTTTGGAGGTAACAAACCAGAATGGGAAAGTCTGCATGTCTTGGAAGTTAGGAGCTAAGGAATTTAGAGGGACCAAGGACAGGCAGGGCTGTTGATAATCACCCTGCAGAGAGTAACTAGGCTGCTGAAAGCCAGGGCGAGACCTTGTATACACGGGCAGGCTACGTGTGTCAGCGATCTGAGCCAAAGCAGCACAGCATTAAGGCACCCCAAGGTTACAGGACAGGCAATGACTGAACCTGGTACTGATCTGAGCAATCCCCAAAGTATCAGCTAGAGTGATGGCCTCCATATATGAAGTTGAGGCTATGGCCTAGCTGCAAAGATAAGTGTGCAAGAGCAGCTGCTGAAAATAGAATGAATACTAAGAACAGGGCTGAAAACCATGGCATTTGTCTTACCGTTGCTTTTTTGAATATTGGGTGTCCAATCTTGCAGTCCATGGATGAGGGTAAATGTGTGGATGGTTCTGACTGCCTGCAGTGAATCTCAGTTGGGGATGGCTGTCAAAATAGTAGGAATGCTTTTTAATATTGAAGCAAAACACACTGGAAGATTCAACTCATTTTGCTGTGTACGCCCTCAAAAGGAATTTCTAACCTAGATGTGAATAGCTCATAACATCAGGAGTTAGTGGTCTTGGAGATCACAGTGTTTCACCATTTTAGGCACTGATAACATCACTGAGGTGTTCCCTTTATGGTTTTTTGTCAGACCTTCATTTTAGGCATTTACAGCAGCAATACAGGCTATGAGTCTAGTGAAAAACCACCTTTTGTTGGCAGGCAACATTCATTAATCGAAATGCCAGAACACTGTTTCCATTTAACATGTTGGATTAGTGTGATTGTAGTAATAAATACCCGCATTAGACTGGCTTTTAAAAAGTCCAAGGTTACGTTGCAGTCTCCAGCATATATTGTGAAAGAACAACACTGCAATGAGCCCACCAGGTAGATTGTAGCTTGAAGGATTGGAAGACAGACCAATCCTTCAAGACCTCTAAATCTGTCCCTTATAAAAACTGATACAAGTAATTTAAAAAGCCTCATCAGTTTTCAATTGGAAAATGAACTGACCCAGACACTTTAGTTCTGGTTATATTTTAGCAATAGAAAGCCACTTGTGCTGCTGCTATTTAATGTATTACATTACTCGTTTATCAGCTGTTCCATTTTATATATGCCACTGCAGAACACACCCTAATGGAGCTGGCTTACTCAGGCCACAGCACGCAGTGCTTGAATTTAATTTAAATTTTTTCACTGTGCTGTAATTATGGCCTTAATAATACTGAATAAATCCAAAGCTTTTACTGGCCTGAAATCTGCTTGCAGTAATTCTGAAGCTTTCAGAATTTGCTTTCAGTGTTTCCCATCTCAGAAATAACCTTCCTCTATACCCAGCCCCTTAATTTAATCTGTTCACAGAGAGGGTCACTTGAGGAGGACCAAAAAAGTGCATGATGCTCGAGAATGCATGCTGAGTATTCTGTTCCCCCTTGGGTTGGATCTGGAACTCATTTGCCACCCTCTGCAAGGCCCCTGTAAACCCCAGACAGGGATGGTAAAGACTGAATAACCGCCGCCTCTGGCATCGAGAAGGATACACCTGTCAGCACCATTGGTCCCTGCTGATTTGGCTCATTTTTTTGCCCCTTGTACACCGATGGAACTGGCTGGTGTCAGCAAGGGAGAGGATAGGTGGGATTTACATACAGCTCTGAGGTGTCTAGACTCCAACAATTCCAGTAGGAAGTGTCAACCGATGGAGGAGGGCCTCCGAGCATTGGTATCATTAGTGCCCTAGATAATCATCTCTGGCCGGAGAACAGACCCATGACCTCTGGAGCCTCCAACTCAGCAGACAAGGAGGTAGGGTCCCATTCAGCTGGTAAGCTATCCGTGCTAATGGCCAAATGCTCCCGCTGCATAGGAAAGGAGAGCAGGCCCAGCACCAGACCAGAGTCTACATCTGCAGCGCCGGCAATGCCGGCCTTTGGTAAGTGTAACAGGCTGCTCTCTTGCCCCTGGCCAAAAAGACACCCTTATGCATTTATTTCAGGAGAATTTTCCTGGGCAGTGAGTGAACAGCAATGGATTCTGACCAAGGCTGTCTCTTCCCAGCCCTGTTTTCAACCAGATAGCCCCGCTCCATGATCTCACCTCTGGGATCATCTTTTTAAATTGCAGATTTCTAGGGTATTCCAGGACCATGGTGGTCATGTAGGAGTCATCTCCGCTGTTAACCAGAGAAATGTTCAGGTTCAGCTCTTTGGTGAACCCCACCACTAATTCCTTCCTGCAAGCCAGCATGAGAAATAGAACAGAGGTGTTATTAAATAGCAACATGGATGAAGTAGAAGTGCCACACAAGATCAAACCATTGGTTGTGCAAGGCCACCAGGCTACTACTGGCCAGATGCTTTCACAGACCCACCTAACACAGCTGGAAAATTAAGTAAGCAGTGGTCTTCACTCGGGAGCAGGCACCCAGCACCTGCACCAGAAGTGACTACTCCACATGGGCGGGGGGGAGGGGAGGGTGTGACACTGTGGGGAAAATGGTTGCCAACTCTCCCAGACCAGATGGTATTTGCTACAATATTATCTGGTCTGGAAGAGATGGCAAGGCAGGAGCAGGGCCAGGAAAAAGTGTGGCCGGGAGGAGCAGCAGGTGGCCCCGCAGCAGGCTGAAGGGAAGCGGCGCCCCTGCTTGGTGAGCACTCTGGCCCCAGGAACATCGCTTGGTAAGCAGGTTCCCGGCACTGAGCCCCGGTGGAGGGAGGGGGTCGTCCAAGTTATGGGACAGGGAGCAGCTGGAATGGCACTGAGAAGGGGGGCAGCCAGGGTCTGGAGGTGTCCAGAGTCCAAGATGTATGTTGTGCCTATCAGTAGTATGGCCCTGGGGCAGGGAGGGGGTTTTGGAGAGGCGGATGTTCCTTTTTGATCATTAGGGTGAAACGTGATCATCTTTAGCATATACAGTTATCCAGATCCTTACAACCCTCGCTCCATTTCACTGACATTCAGGGAGTGCCACGGGCTGACTCTGCACTGTGACACAAAGTTTATCCTGTTATCTCAGGCTGGATAACTTTGGAGTGACCCCTTGCTTTTGTATTATGGGCTAGCAGTCAAAATGTTCAGAATCAATACCAAAATTGGGACTTTAGGGCCTCCGTGCCTTTTCTGTCCTTGGTCTCACTGCTGAGATTCCCAGAGAGGCTCATTCTGGCCTCAGGAGGAAAGCAGTTAGAAGGCCATGATGTAATAGCATGGATAATTTGGGTGGGATTTAATGTATGAAAGGGAGACAAAAACACAAATTATTTTCACACAGATGAGTTCCCTGTAAGATGAGCACTTGTGAGGCTTCTCCAGAGAGATTCTAAAACCACCCAGCTGATTAACAGAGCATCCACAGCTGGGATTGTGTTTCTACTGGTGGTGCACATTCACACATGCCTCAGTGCACATAAAAATTATTCTACACATGGATGGAAAAGATATGGGAGAACATTGATCTACATGTATTTTACAACAATGCCACAAATGAAATAAGCACAACAAACCCTTTTCAACTCACTGAATCTGACTTCTCAAGATTAAGTTCGCAGCACAGATGGTCTTGTTACTACAGTCCTTCTTGTAAGGCAGCTGAAATTAGAGTGGCATCATTAGGATGGAGCTGGTCAGAACTCCCTGGTTTTAAGGGGACTTTCTCTTTTTTTTTTCCTCCTGGGGGGGCTGCATATTAAAAAACACATTCTCTCACATTGCAAGCACGCTTTCCCCCAAACCAGGCATTTGCATGACCCTATCTAAGGGACAAAGCTGGACTGAAGGAACCTTTAACAGCAGCAGCTCTCTACCAGGTTGCTGTTGAGTTATGATGCGATTGCAAGAAAAGGGACTATTAGGAGACTTCACAGTGGCATGAAATGCCTTCAGTGGGAACAAAATCAGCATTCGGAATATTTCCTCTGGGTCCCTTCGCAATCCATCACTCTCAGTCCATTAGAAAGAGATGCTAATTGTTAGCCCTTCCATTCGTCTAGAGAGAGCCATCTGCAGCATTCTACGGCAGAATCCTGTACATTTTTTAATTATTAGTCCCCATTCATTGCTGAAGTATTCTAGTTTTTTAATCCATCTCCTCACATTTTTTTTACTTAATCTACCCTATCTCAATTTTATTTAAATGCAAATATCACTGTCTTACAAGTGACACAGATGACAAAAATAAAAACTAGAAAAGTTAATTTATAGAAATGCTCTACGAGCTCCAGAATGAAAGTTTCACACCTTCCCTGTTACAAGCACACAGCATGTGAGACTACTTTGATTTTTCTGAAAGAACCAAATCAGAGGAAATGGCCAGTATTTTTATCAATATTGTTGATCCTCCAATATAAATCTAGTATCTATGCCTGATTTGGCTATTGACTTCACTACAGACTAGACCTGTCCTTCAGAATCTGAAACTCCACAAATTCTGATTTTGTTCTGGTTTAGACTTTTTCCCCCAAAATATAATTTAGAATATTTTTTTACATACCTTTTTTAAATAGAAAATAATACCATTTTGTTTATGCAGAAATCTTCATTCAAATAATATCTCTCAATAATACTACTTAACATAGAACTTTATATTTGCAAAGCACTTCACAAACATTAGCTAATGAATCCTTGCCCCTTTTCCCATTAAGTTGGGTTCTGTCCCCGTTCGCTATGAGAGTAAGCTGACACACACAGAAGGTACAGGACTTGCCCAAAGTTACAGTGAGGTAAGGACCGAGTTGGGAACAGAACCAAGATTTTTTTAAATACAGGATATAGGTGAGTCTTCTGGGGGAATCTCCTTTTTCAAATCTCTGTAGAAGATCATACTTCTTTTAGGCAGGGGTGTGGAAAAGACACGCATGTGCTAAGAAAAGCACAGTGCCAACGCTACTCATGATAAAAGCTTATTGAGGAGCAGGAGAGCCAGTTGCTTCTAGGAAGTATTTTATTACCTGAAAATATGCCTTAGGTTCCTGGTATTTATCCAGGATGGGAGCAGCATGATCCACATTCTCTTTGTTATTAACGAGGTTGTAGCTGACTTTAAGAGTAATGCTAGAGAAACAATCATAATCACATGGCTGTAATATAAGAAAAAAAATTCATTGGTATGGCAGGTTAGATTGTAAAGTCATGTTCGTACATCAGTGACTCTTTGCACGACTGGCCCAGTTCCTAATGTGCCATTGTCTGAATGCCACCAGACACGCAAGTATAGAGGAGCAAAAAGCCCCCAAAATCTGTTTGTTTCAATTCTTAAAATCCTTATTTCTGCGCTCCAGACATGGCCTTTCACTTGAACAGGATCTCGCTGCAGAGGGAGCCAGGCACATTCAAACTGCCAGGTGCCATTGTCTCTCAAAGATACTGGGACTCCGAGGCAGCCAATATGCCAGAATTCCAGGCACTGCCTTGGAATGAAATGTTCCAGTGCAGTTATTCATAGAGTGCTGCATGCAAGCTGTAGCAGTCAGCTGAAACCTGCCCAAAATAATGCTGGACTCCTGTTTGCTTCCAGTTATTAACAGGAGGAAGAGGGTGTGAGTGGGGCGGAATATATTACTTGGTATTTCTACAGCACTTTTCACACACAGATCTACAAGTGATTTACAAAGATGCACAAGTGTTGTTAGTTCTCTTAAACTGAGGCATAAAGTGTTGATGTGACTCACACACCAGGTCACAATGGAACCAGAGCTGGAAAAAGTTGCCTATACCATCCACTGTCTACACCACATGATCTCCTACATCTCTTACTGATACAAGTGTGACACACAGTTCTGGGAAGTTCTTTCCCCTTGGGCTGTTTTGCTTAGGACATGAAAGCAAGTCTACCTGAAATTAACCTCCATGCCTTCACAATCCATCTGCTGCTTCAAGACTGAATCATCCTGAGGTAGATTCCATAACTAGCCCATTCCCATCTGTGTTTTTTCCTGGAGCACTATTTTAGAGAAAGCTCCAGAGATGTGCAATCCAAGGATGCACCATTCACGGAAGTAGAAGTGATTCCTTCCCAGCTTCTGAGCTAACTGCCAAAATCACCTACCAGTATATGGAGTGGCAACTTATTACACATAGGTTGATTGACCGGCTCTTCTCGGCTCAGTATGAATTTCTGATCCTCAAACTGGGCTCTCTTCTTCTTTGTCGTCTTCACATCTAAATCCACCGTGTAGTGAATGGATAAGTGCCAATTCTCTGGAAACACAGATTGGAATTTTTTGTGAATTCAGAACACCCTTCATGGGACTGGGGAAACTAAAGTCTGTGAGCAAAGTGCAATCAGAGCTCTAAATTATATGGGGGGAAAAGCACTATTAAGTTTAGGCAGAGCTGTTACAGGAATCTTAAAGCGTAAGCCATATCTATATTTACCGCGCAGGAGATTGACCTTCTGGCATTTGATTTAGTGGGTCTAATAAGGACTCACTAAATCAAACGCTAATGGCACTCCCCGGTCCGTGCCAGTACTCCTTGATTCATGAGGAGTAAGAGAAGCCAAGGGGAGCGTTTGCTCCCATTGACCTCCCACTGTGGAGATGGCACCAAGCTCGGCTTAAAGTATGTCAACTCCAGCTACGTTATTTATGTAGCTGGAGTTGTGCACCTTAAGCCAACGTTCTGGGTCTAGTAGAGACTTGGCCTTAGATTCAAAGATATACATTTAAGTAGGAATTGAAGGACTAAAGATGAAAGAAACATATTCCCAAATGTGCTAAATTAGTGCTAATCTCTGGTTTTGAGCAACAGGGAGAAATGATTACCCAATATACGCAGAAATTATTGTTCTTGAAGCTGTGTCCCCCTACAGGTGCTCCACTCTAGGTGCACTGGTGCTAGGGATGTTAAAAAGTGGGTATTCCACTAATCATGTAGTTGATAAATTTTTTAATCGACTACATGATTAGTTGATAAGGGAAGGCACCCAGTCCCGGCACGTGCCAGATCTGGGAGCTACCCCCGCTGCAGCTCTGCAGTTTAAATGTAGTAAGAGCTGGGTAAGCAGGCAGCCCAATTCTTACTAAATTTAAACTGCAAAGCCACAGTGGAGGTAGTTCCCAGTCCCAGCTCGCGCCAGGTCCAGCAGCCCCGTCCCTGGGCCCGTCATAAGACTTTGCACCTCAGTCCCCACCCCACTGCTCCACGGAGATGGTGCTGGGGGGAATCGGCTTATAAGCTAGCTCCCCCCAGCACTGGCTCCTGCTTCTTCCTCCCTTGCTGCCTCTGAATCAGAGGCAGCAAGGGAGGGGAAATGTAAATAGTTGACTTTACTAACCAATAAGCTTAGGCTTATCGGGTAGTGAACTACTCAATTACTCACTTACATCCCTAACTAGCATCCCCTGTGCCTACAATAGAGAACCTGTAGGGACACTACTCAAAGAACTTCTTGCTTCATGTATGACTTCAAGCTACCGCCAGGTGAACCCATCACAACTGCACCCTGGCATGTAAAGGATAAGCAACCAGGAAGAACGGCTGGGCTAACTGGTAGTACGGAGACCTAGCATCACATTCTCTGCTGGAATAAGCAGATGCAACTTCAACAGCCTCAGTAGAGCTTCATCTGCTCTGCCTGCTGTGAACTTAGCTCCTCACATTGAATTTTTAACAAGAGAAAGTATTATTATTAACCATATATGATCATGTGTCCCTGAAACATGATACATCTAGGCTGTGTCCACACTGGCAAGATTTTGTGCAAAAATGTCTGCTTTTGCGCAAAATCTTGCCCCCTGTCTACACTAGCCACGAGTATTTGGACAAGAACACTGACATTCTAATGTACGAAATCAGTGCTTCCTGCGCAAATACTCTGACGCTCCTGCTCAGGGCTAAGCCCTCTTGCGCAAGTATTCTTGCGCAAGAGGCCAGTGCAGGCAGGCAACGTTAATTTCTTGCACAAGAAAGCCCAATGGCTAAAATGGCCATCGGAGCGGCTACACTGGCATGGATGCTTTTGCGCAAAAGCACATGCCAGTGTAGATGCTCTCTTGTGCAAATACTTTTAACGGAAAAACTTTTCCATTAAAAGTATTTGCGCAAAATCATGCCAGTGTAGACGCAACCCTTCTGTACAGAACAGCCTCTAGAGTTAGAGCCCCAAAATCCTCAGGACAACTCTGGCCTGCAGCTGACAGTCTCATTATTATTCACACGTTATTACCTTGCTGGGATGCTTTTAAAGGAGGGATCATATCAAAGCACAATTCCGCAGTAACGATGCTATTGTTCTGGAAGATGGATATTCTTTCTGGGGTGAATCTCATAGTGACCTTAAAAGTGACAACTGGTCTGGAGCTGGAGGGGAAGAAGAGGAACCGATAAGCAAGTAGACAAGATGGACATAAGTAGAATTTCCAGACTGATGCTTTACGGGAGGAACATTCCAAGACCCCCTATCAACAAGGAGCAAGGATCGTAAACTGATTCTGTAGTATTTCACTTGATATTCTCTGCTGTCTTGAAAACTCAACAGCCAAACAACGTTGGACCAGACTGGTCTATTTCTTAAATTTCCAGTTTTGGCTGGGAATGTCAAGAATGTAGAGAAATCTCAAAATCCAAAATCTATGGGGCTAAGAGTTTCAAAACTGAGTTTCCATTTTTGTACCTGGAATTGAATTGCAGGTGTAAATCTGGGTTCTTGTACCTCTTCCAGGTGTCTAGGGCAAATCAGATAGATATTGGTACACAAATTCTCTAATTTTCACATGCAGTTTTCCAGGAGTAAAAATGCACATGCAAATTGAATCTCACCCGTTGTGAAATGTACCCCCACCCCGTTAAGGTCATGTAGATGTCTAGGTACTGAATGCAGTTTGTAAATAAGCTGTCTACATGGCTAATGAACCTAAACTGCACATGAAGGATTGTGGGTACAAAGATAGGGGCTAATGAAGTCCTACATTACAGCTGATCCAAGTTTAGTAACTTAGGCCAGGTCTATAGGAGACCCAGAAGATCAGCTTGAAGTATGTAAAAAATAGTAGCTGGAGTCAACATAGCTTAAGTCGAGCTTGGCACTGTCTCCATAGTGGGAGGTTGATGGGAACAAAGGCTCCTGTCAGCTTCCCTTACTCCTCACAAATCGAGGATTACTGCCATCAGCCAGGTGTGCTCTCAGTTTTTGATTTAGCTGATTCTTACTAGACCCACTAAATTGAACGCTAGAAAATGGATCTCCAGTGCTGTAAGTATAGACATGGCCTAACACTTTCTGGTTTAGAAGTTTAAAGACAAAAGGATTCTAACTTATGGCTTGTCTCTAGTACGTGGTAGATCAATGCTGCAGCGATTGATCCACTGGCGGTCAATTTATCGTGCCTGCTTAGACATGATAAATCAATCTCTGAGTGCTCTCCTATCAATTCCAGTACTCCATCAGGACAAAAAGAATAGCCTGAGTTGATAGGAAAGCAGCCCCTGTTAACCTTACTGCACAGAAGACGCCACACTATTTGCATAGCTGAAGTCACATAAATTGGATTGATGGGGAGTTTAGTGTAGTCAAGGCATTAGCCTAAAGCCTTTATATTACATAGAATATTTAGGACACTTTTTTTTTTTAATCAACAAAACTAATGTATGTCCCAGCAATACTTAAATAATAATGGAACCACTAATTAACACTTGGGAACAATCTCTACTTACCGGAGCACAGTCACTTTTCCAAGTGATCCCACGGTGATATCTATGAGACCATCTTCAGTGAGGTCAAAACCACCGTCAATGGACTGTCCAAAATATTGGAGGCCTGGAGCAATTTCAGCTGCTCTTATCCTCTGTAGGTGGGAAAAGACCAACAGATAAGATGGGATATTTCTCTGGTGAACAAGGGACTGCTTTGAGCATTTTTGACATGTCCAGGAAAGGCGACAAACCTCTTCCTGCAACAGCGGACAGGCAGGATTGCTAATGGAGATAGTGTGTAGTCAGTAGGTATGGAAACACATCCCCAACTGAGCACTTTAGAATCGTAGATTAATAGGGGTAGAAGGGATAGCCAGCCAGCTGAGTCGAAGAAGCAGCTCTGCTAAGTCAAGCCTGCAGAGTTTCTTTCACACAGGTGACCCGACGCACCACATCACACTTCTCCCCCATCAGCCCAATCTGCGTTCACCATGGGTGGAGTCTTTTCATCCACGCACAATGAGAGTTTTGAGGACCATACTCTGGTAGCTGCAGCATTTTTGATAAGCAGAGAACTTGCAAACCTGAGAACGTGAGCGCCACCAGACCCGACTCAAAGGTTAGTAAATTTGGGCGGGGTTTCAGATTAAAAGAAAAAGCCCCAGTGTTTCCTCAACCAAGCCAATTCGTTTTTCAAGACCGAGTCACTGTTTAATCGGTTATAAGGCGATTTTCCAGAATAAAAGGAACAGTTTGTGCAAGAAATGGAAAGGGGGGGGATAAAAACATGGATGAGATCACCAAAACACCCCTGGGAGGCAGGAATTATTAAGTTATCAGCCTTGGAGATGAATAAACGGAGACATGGGGAGGCCGGGTGACTTGCCCAAGGCTTCACAGTGTCAGAAATTAAAATAAAATGCAGGAGTCCTGACTCTGAACCCTCTATCACAAGAGCTTGCACCCCTGCCTCTCGCTCATTAAATCCTCACTGCACATACGAGTCACCCGGGACTCCCCCCTACCTGAAAAGAGGGTCTGATCCCATCCTTATCACCATTGTAGATGTATATGCTGCCAAAGGCAGAAGGGTCTGAAAGCTGATCCTCAAGGGGGGCTCCAATGGCAACATCTTCATACCCATCCCCATTGATGTCTCCGATGCTGGCCAGAGCAAATCCGAACCTTGCCAGAGAAGGCAGCTTCTGGTCACGTAAGTGTCCTGTCATGGAGAAGGCGCTGTTCTGAAAAACAGCCGAGAGGTTATTCCTGTGGCTCTGGAAAACAGGGGGATTCCCTAGAGCAGCAAGGACTGAAGGTGAACAACAAAGCAACAAGAATGCAAAGTCCCAGTTCATCTCCCTCGGAAACCCCCATACCCCCGGTCTGCTACTGGAGTCAATGGACGCAGGTGTACTCTTACACATAAAAATGGCCGAACCATTGAAAATCAGCTGCCAGTGTCCTGCTCGCCAACTCCGAACCCTGCATCTCCACCTGGGGATTTTGTCCAGCCGCCCCTCTGCGTGGTACCCGAGTGCCTTCCAAATCCCCCGGCCCCCAGTCTGCTCTGCCGCAGCTGAGAATGTCACATTCCCTGGACCGCTCCCTAGAGCAGGGCTGCTCCACTTTGGAATCCCCGGGGGCCACAATGATACTCCCAGCACACGCCGAGGGCCATGTGGCTGCATAGACATGTAAATACATATGCAAATATATGCAAATCGCTTCTTTCACACTGATGGGCATGAATACAAAGATTAAGCCTTAAGCCGCGGCGCCAGACCCAAACGTGGCCAGTTGAGCCAGTCAGCACCTCTCCGGCTCTGCCCACAAAGCTAAGCAGCCAGCACTTCCCACAATGCCCCGGCACTTCCCCCAAGGGGCTAGAATCGCCAACACCCTGTTCCCGTCTGTTCCAGCCAGCTCGTTCGCTTGCGTCTTTCAGCGCTCCCCCGGCCTGGGAGACACCTCGCCACTGTGGAGCGTGTTCCCAGTGGAGGCCGTGTTCACAGGATCCCAACCGCAGGCCGTGTGTTGAGCCCTGCCCAAACCCAAACCACCCCGCTGGCCGCAAACAAATGGGCCATGTGTTGAGTCGCCCTGCCCTAGTGCTAAGCCACAACGTGGGGGCGGGGGGAGGTGTGTGACTTGGCTTTTGACAGATGCCTTGAATGTGCAGTGAAGCCCCCAGCTGCGTTCAGCCCCTCTGGACAAGCTTTATTCACTGCTTCTGAAATGGTGCTGAGCGGGGCTTGTCCAGGTCGATATTTGCAGTTAAACCGTGGTCAGTTTGGTTCCGCTAAAGCGCAGGGAGGGGAACCTCAGGCTCGGGGACCGGATGTGGCCCCCAAATTGCCTGGATCTGGCCCCTGATGTTCAGGCTCCCCCCTGCACTGGGGAGCTTTCGCTGGCACTCCAACCGCCGCGCACGAAATCTACCAGCCTGGGCCTCCCTCGGCTCTCGTGTCTTTCCCGTTAGTCGGGGCCACATCAGTGAACGATTGGGGGTGTTTTGGGTTTTTTTGCTTCTCACTTGTGTGTGGCCCCCAATTGATTTTTCAGTGGGTCAGCGGCCCCCAACCCAAAAACGGTCCCTCGCCCCTGAGCTAAAGCTGTCCTGGGCAATAGGTCGGCCTCTGAGTCTAGACAAGGCTACAGTGGTGTCAGCAATGTCACCTCCTCGGTCCAGTGCCTTTGGGACCCGAGTGGTCCTGAAGGAGGGAGTTTGCTGGACCAAGGGAGGTCAGGCATTGGGCGAAGTTGGGGCTCCCCTCCCGGCCACTGGCCCAGCCAGTGCGCTGTCCCTGGCCGGTGGCAGGGCTCCACTCCCAGTTGCCACCCTGCTCCAGCCAGTGGGACTCCCTTCCCCCAGCCCGTGGGGACTCCGTGCCTCTGGCCACAGGGCTCCCTACCCACAGCCGGTGGTGGATTCACACTTCCAGCTGCAGGGGCTTCCCTGGCCCCAGGCCACTGGCCCTCCTGGCTGCCTGCCGTCTGAACGCCCAGCCACTGGCAACCTCTGTGGCTGGGGCTCTCTGGTGGTCCTGCCGGGCCATGGGTGTTCCAGACCAGAGCATCCCGGGCCACAGAGGTTCAACCTGTGTACACAGAGCACCAAGGCTCAATGAGAAAACAAAGGAAGCAATTGTCATATGTTTTGTTTTAAAACGTATTAGCCTGGGCTAACAAGTCCCTTGTGTTCTATTACTAATTTGCCAGAGACAACAATGTTTCTTTTCTGGATCCAAGACTTTTGCATTCACTCATGGAGTTCGGTTTCAGTTTAGTTTCTCTTTAAGAGCTCTGTAGGTACAGCCTGCCTTATAACCCCTATAAGATAGGGCGGATCATTCTGTGGTCGTCTCATACAAGACACCATTCACGAGTTATGCATGGGCACCATATGGATTTCACTGGGGGGGCCATACAGGAAAGGCACCAAGGAGAAGGTTTTTTTTGTCACCATTAACAAGCAGGAACAGAAATATTTCAAAGAACTATTGGAAAGCTCCCCCCCCTCCACCCCTGAGTCAGAATTGCGGAAGCCAGTGTCTTTACCTCAAGCCGATACACATAAACTCTTCCCTCTTCCCCATGGATGTGATAAAACGGGGCTCCCACGAGAAGGTGGTCTGTCAGCCCATCTCGGTTCACGTCCAGAGTGCAGAGTTCAGAGCCAAAGTAAGACCCAACCTGCGCTCCAGAAAGAGAGTTGGGTTTTACACTGGAATTCCCAGTAAAGAAATAAATCTGTTAAGGTATCCCATGGTGCCCTTTGCAACCGTCTGCATAGTCATTATGTATCTATCCCACTGTCTTTATGTGGATCATTTCATGACTCCTATCTTTATAATGCAGCCATCTCTGGGGAGGGCTCCAGTAACCAGTCACAACACTAGTATCACGATGCAACAGTTTTACAATGGGCAATGGAGGATACCTTTGCCGGTCAGAGTGCCTGGATTTTGTGTGGTGGGGGATGCAGTGATAGTCCAATCCCATTTATCTGAACCTCTTTCAAACCTCCCTCTTCACCAAACTGGGGGTAGCATCCTCTCCCCATCTATCCACCACACCAGTTGCCTGAATTTTTCTACCGCCGCCAAAACTTTATGGATGAACAAAGTTATGCAGCTCGCTTCCTATGTTCTGCACTTGCCCACTCTGAAGTCTGTGAGGAGTCAAGATGGGGGGCAAACCCTCAGCTAGTGTAAATTTTCATAGGTCAAGTAGGCTCTGATACTTTACACCAGGATCTGCCTGGAGAAAAATGCAGGGGAAGTTCCAGTTAGGGGAAGTGTATGCAGGAAAATGCTCTGTAATGGCAGCATTGCCACAAAGTCACGTGGAGTGTATTTTTTTCCTCCGGACATAATGCTGTCAGCCCACTTTATGGCCACCAGAGACTGAACAAAGCCCACGTACCTGATCTCCTTGCAGGATTTGCTTTACACGATCTTTCTGAAACACCAGCACTTTCCCCGTCATGCTGTGCTGGGGAGCTCCGGCAATGTACAAAGCACCCTCTTGTGTGGTCGCTGCAGCCACGCTGTACCCTGCATTTAGCAGAAACGACGCGTGATCAGTGCAGCACTTTATCGCTCAGCTCAAAAGCCAGGGACACCCACGCTGGAGCTGAGATTCTCACGTGGAGCGTCACAGTGCTAGAGACAGGCCAGGACATTGAAATCGAGCCCTGGAGCAGGAACCAAAACTCCTGTGTCGGAGGCTGTCGTGGGCCACGGTTTTGGTGTGGTCCCATCTCACTCAAAAGACGGATTAGGAAATACCAGGAGATGGTGACTTGCCTGAGAGAAAGTGACTCAATGGTGGGCCCATTGGGGTTCTGTTAGGCTCACGAGACGTTGTGTTTACTGTTGCCCACCCACATGGTTCCCCGATTCGGCTGGTTTCCGTCTGCGTAGTTTTTTCCCCGCCTGTGTTAGTAAGTGACACGCACGTGAAGCAAGGACACGTGGCGCGAGCAGCACGCTGATTGCACACAACACTGATTGTGAGAGCTGTGTGCTCCCTTTGCTTCCAATCAATGCGCTGCTACGATTCAAATCAGCGCAAATTCTAGGGACACAAGTGCAGAGAACAACATAACTCTAACCTGGGAGATCACCTTGCAGCCCCCCGCGATGAAGGAGGGCCACTCACGCAGCCCACTCACTAGTTTGGCGTGCCCCTCGCTGATGTAAATGGCTCCGCAGTAGCCACGCTCGATAACGTTTTGAACACATTCCCAGCGTTTAATCACGGAGCCTGGATTGTTCCCTGCAATGTACACCTGTTGGGCCTCACTTTAATTGCCTGTGGAGGCCGACAGGTTAAAAATCCATAATAAAGGAGACTTTATACCATGAGAGGGATTCAGAAAAAGAAAGCTCCCGGGGAGAAGAAAGGACAAGCATTGTGGTGGGGTATTTAAGACACACACAGGCCAGAGCACCTGTAACTAAAATGGAGAGATTTCTGGAGCTAAGTCTAATACAGGTTGAACCTCTCTAGTCTGGCAACATCCGTGGTCTGGCATGATTTTAGTTAGACACATGTCCACTTATCATGAGTGTGGCCAAGTTTCCCATGGTCCCATTAAGTTTGTTTACAGCCACCAGTGCTGGCTCTCAGTGTTCTGCACTGTTGTTTAGTTCTAATTTACCCCTAACTGTCTTCTCAGAGCCTAGGAAGCAGTGGAAGCATTGGTGATGCTGCTAGACAATATTGACCTCCTGTGGTTTGGCAAATTCTCTGGTTCGGCACCGGTCAGGTCCCGAGGGCGCCGGACTAGAGAGGTGCAACCTGTGTCAGGAGATAACAGGACTCCCAATGCTATAAAGAGCTTGTGTTAATAAGACAAAAACTTGGAACACATTTTGAACAGTCTTCCAGCACACCAGGCCAAGATTGGTAAGGATTCAGGAGCTGTTTGCTCTCCCGTCTCCGCAGCACATGGAATATTTCCCCATTTCAGGCGCCGAAAGATTCCATTCTCTCTGAGAGTTGTGGTACAGGAAGCAGTGCGTATTAGCAGGGCGCAGCGGATGCCAGGGTGTATATGCTGTCAGTGAGCGTGACCACTGTGCTGCTGGGTGGCAGGGAAAGTATTTCTGTCTCAGCCCCTTTTCCCGGCTACAGGAAACAGAGGTGCAGCCAGTTCCTGTGAGGTTTGCTGTTCGTTGGGTTAACCGTTTTCAACGCTGGCACATCACCCACTATGCACCACCCACATATCGAGATATTTGGCCTGATCCTTCTCCCATTAGCTGTACTGGGAGCAGGACTGGAGCCATCTGCTTGCTCCTGGGCTGGCAGGGGGTGCTTTTTACCTAGGTAGCTGTATCTGGCTCCCTTTGCTTCTTTAGATTCGTTCAGGAAAGCGGCCGTCTTGGTTACCAAATCATACAGCAGAACGCCACCCGACCAGTCAAAGGCTCCCACCGCGCCAACCAGTATGTGCTGCTGCCGAGTTCACAGAGGGGAAGACAGAAGAGAGGGATGGATGTGAATCCCCATTTGCCCTTCTCCTGCACTTTGTGCCTAAGGATCTGAAATAGCTTTAGCAAATATCAACGTGTTCAGCCTCTCGTCTCCCCCAGACGCTCGACTGGCACTTCTATTCCCATTCCCCAGAGGGGGAATCTGAAGCACACTGAGGTGTGCCAAAGCTCCTCCTTAACCTGAGTGGGTCCCATGCTTGTCTCAGAGGCTCGCAGCAGCCCTTAATTTAGACACTGGCCTGCTATTGGTTGAGCTACTCTCGTCATTGGCCAGCATGGGGAAAAGAGGGGAAACCAAACTTCATAATCTTTGCACGCGCGCACACACGCACACAGAATGGTAAAAGGTAGGACGAACCCACTCTATTTCTAGTACTGAAATGGGGATCGGGAGTTGGGGGGAGAGGGAGGAGGGAGACCCAGGCCTGCCCTCTACTCCGGATTCCAGCCCAGGGACCCTATAATAGCAGCTGTCTCTAATGTTTCCGGTAACAGCTGTGTGAATGCTACAAATCCCTGAGCCCCTTCCCCACAGCCTTCTCCAGCACCTTCCTTACTGGGGAGTCTTCCTCCTGGGACCTGCTTGCACTTTCTTCTCCCAGACTCTCCACCACTTTCTCTCCTCAGCTCCTTCCTCATACACTGAAGAGGAACTCTTTAACCAGCCTCAACTGGTTCTCAATTGGCCCCAGGTGTTCTGAATAGTCTGACTCACTTGACTCTGGAAAGCTCCATCACTCTCCTGTACCCCTCTGGCTTGACCCCATCCCACTACCCTATGGTCAGATAAAAACCAGCAGCGTGGGAAACAGAATCCAGGTCCCCTGACTCCCTGGCATCAGCATGAAACAAAGCCACTTTTGGTAAAGATACACCAGTTACTCTCAAGGAAGAGTCCATATGTGCATTAGCCACTGAAATCAGATCTACCAGCCAGCGAGCAGATGCAAGTGGAATCTATATGCAATTTAGAGATACCAGTCGAAGGGGATTTGACTGGTCTGGCTCTCACGCTGGAGCATGGGTCATTATGTAGGAAATAGAATCAATTCTTTGCAGCCTCCCAAACCACAGAACAACAGTGCCTTGCACACATCTGCCACAGTGAAAGTGCACCACCCACTTGCCTTGTCCAAGATCTGTGCGCTGAAACCAGTTTGTGCCAGCTCATATTCTGTAATATCTCCCGCCGTCCCTGAAAAGCAGAAGAGGACTGGGTGAGTCATTTTCTCATGGGTGGTGGGTGAAAGCCTGCTGAGGAAGGCAAGCACAAAGCCCCGCCCCTTCTGACCAAGGTCCCACCCCCTTTTGACCAAGGCCCCGCCCTTTCTGACCAAGGCCCCGCCCTTTCCACAATCTCATCCCCATGGAGTCAAGCCAAGCCCCCAGCCAAGGTTACTGCCCCCAGACCCAGTGGGTGGCATGGCCCACCTTTCCTAGGGGTTCAGAGTGCCTAGGGCAACCACACAGCAGCCCCAGTCCTCCCAGGCGGCTGATGAACTAGGTTGCCACACTGCACCAGCAGCCCTCCCAGGTGGCCGGTGAAAAGCGTAGTCAGTTTTGGGAAGGCAATGCCTTCCCTTGCCTATGTTACCCACCACCCATGCGTCTTCTTGTGGTTGCTCAGACAGGGCAAGAAGGTAGCGGTTCCCCCTTCACCTTCTGTCGCAATGATCTTCTGCTGCAGGGTTGAAAGGAGCCCATCTAACGCCGAATAATTGGTCACCCGGAATAAATGACTTTCATCTGGATCAGAGGCGATCAGCTGCAACTCACTTAGGGCTTTGGGCTTGTTGAAGGCGTCTCCCACCTGTGGCAGAGACCAAGAGCAATGAAGAAGAGCAGCACCTGGATGGAAAAACGGTGGCTTTTCCTAGCTACATCCGTTCGGGGGTCATAACTCCCCAGGAATCTGCAAGGGGCTCCATGCTGAGTGCATCCCGACGGCAGCTGCAATTGCAGTTGATGTCAGTAAGTTGCATGTTCTCAGGGCTCCCGGTATTGGGCCTTTAGGGAACAGATCCACATTACAGGCTCATGTCGTATTTGTGGTAGCGGAATAAGAAAAGGAGAGTCTAAGCTGCTGAGGAGGGGCAAATATCAAAGCTGAAGTTTCTCCGTATAACTCTCTGCTAAAGAATTACTCTTCTGAATTTGTTTAGAAATCAAGCAGCTCGTTAGTTTAGTCTTAGTAATAAATGTGTCCTGATTCCTGGCGTCTCTGTCTTGTACACGCTCCATAATAAACCTTCTATTTCCTCCCCATCACACAGTCCTCGGAGTTTCTGTTCCTGCAGCTCATGCGCAAAATAAAACTTCTTTCACCTTTATAGAATGCCTTTTGAACCTGTCTTTCTCCCGAGGTAATTACCAGCTAGAACCAAGGTGCTCGTGTTTCAGATATCTAAAACCAGTGGCCCAAATCCCTAAGGAGCTGTTGTGGATGATAATAATATTGAACAAAGTTGAGCTCCACCAGTTACATTTTCTTTCTTTGAAGATGCAAATGAAGTCAATTCACAATTTTAAAAATAGTTTATTTCCAAAACTCTTTGTATTAAGTGTGGCACTGAAAGCGAAATATTCTGCCATGTTTAGAATCACTTTTAGGCTGATATTTTTTGTTTTTTGGTAGAAGAAGATACAAAATGTCTCCAAGCTATCCCCACTCTCTAAGAACCAAGGAGCGGTGCTGACTGATAAAGTTGATTGAAGTGAACTAACGAAGAATTAATATTTCCATTCTTTTGTTTCCCTGGGAGATGTGTAGCTAAATTCTTGCCCACGTCCCACCAGTCAGTTTTGAAAACTATGGATTTTCAGGCAAGATTTTAAACACTTTTATTTATTCATTGTGACTTATGCATGTGCCATTCCCCTCTTTCAGTGCCATGAGTGAAGACAGAGTTTGGACTTGTCGTACCTTAGTGCTTTTTTAAAACACATAGGGTACGTCTAAACTACATGGCTCCGTCGACGGAGCCATGTAGATTTGTTTGTTCGGCAAAGGGAAATGAAGCCGCAATTTAAATAATTGCGGCTTCATTTAAATTTAAATGGCTGCCCTGCTCTGCCGATCAGCTGTTTGTCGACAGATCGGGGCAGTCTGGACGCTCCCCTGCTGACACGAAAACCCTTTATTGACCTCCCTGGTAAACCTCATCCTACGAGGCATAACAGGGAGGTCGATAATGGGCTTTCAGGTCAGCGCGGGAGCATCCAGATCAGCTGTTTCTCGGCTCAGCGTGGCAGCCATTTAAATTTAAATGAAGCCGTAATTATTTAAATCGCAGCTTCATTTCCCTTTGCCGATCAGCCTAATCTACATGGCTCCACCGATGGAGCCATGTAGTTTAGACACACCCATATTGAACACCCACTGGCTTTATCGTGTACATTGCATTTTGCAATATGAACACAATGCAGGGAGCCTCAAGGAGAGATTTAAATGTGGAGACAGTCGCCAGACACCAGGCAAGGAAGCTGCTTTGTTCCAAAATGGTTAAGTATGAGAGAAGTTGGACGTGAAGTAGGAACAGCAAAGATGACTGGTCAGAGCACACAGCAGAGCACAACAGGCCTGGGTCTGTACTAGAACAGGCAGGTCAATTTAAGGGATGCATTTTGCGTGGCTGGATGCGCCTGACTTTAAGTCGAGCCATGGCAGCATCCACACAGCAGGAGGCTGACGGGAGCGCACACACCCATCCGCTTCCCTTACTCCTCGCAGAATAAGGAGTACCGGATGCCAGCGGGGGCGGCCCTCAGCATTTGATTTATGAGTCTACATTAGACCCGCTATATCAAACACTAGGGCTGTGTCTAGACTGGCCAGTTTTTCCGGAAAATCAGCCGCTTTTCCGGAAAAACTTGCCAGCTGTCTACACTGGCCGCTTGAATTTCCGCAAAAGCACTGACTTCCTACTGTAAGAAATCAGTGCTTCTTGCGGAAATACTATTCTGCTCCCGTTCGGGCAAAAGTCCCTTTTGCGCAAAAGGGCCAGTGTAGACAGCTCAGATTTGTTTTCCGCAAAAACGCCCCGATCATGAAAATGGCGATCGGAGCTTTTTTGCGGAAAAGCGCATCTAGATTGGCACGGACACTTTTCCGCAAAAAGTGCTTTTGCGGAAAAGCGTCCGTGCCAATCTAGACGCTCTGTTCTGAAAATGCTTTTAATGGAAAACTTTTCCATGAAAAGCATTTCCGGAAAATCATGCCAGTCTAGACGCAGCCTAGAAGATCGACCTCCAGAAGTGTTGACATGCCCTCAAGGTGTAGGAGTGAACAGGGTCCAAGTGAAAATGGATGTTGTGAGGGCTTAAAGGTGAGGTAGAGAAACTTAGCTGTAACAAGTTTCAGAGGAACTTTGAGGAAATTTCAGAGGAAAGAGAGAGGAACAAGTAAAGGCAGCTGAGGAAAAGGTGGTGTAAATGATGTCAGAGGAAGTCCACAAGAGACTTGACACTGCAGTACTCCACCGAGTTGGGTTGGATTTTATTTACCTGTTGCTCCTATTATTAACTCAGCCCTGGTCTGCACTAGGGAAGTATTTTGAAATAACTCCCCTTATTTTGAAAAGACTAGCAGAGTGTCCAAACCAAGCCCATTATTTCAAAATAAGGGGCTGGTTATTTCGAAATGAAAGCTCCTGCTTTCTAGGAGGAATAACACTTACTGTATTTTGAAAGAGTTATTTCCAAATAGTGGGAATGTAGACACTCCACTATTGCTATTTCAAAATAACTACTCCCCAGCGACATTCAAAGTAATTATTCCCCAGTGCTTCTTGGGGCTCTATGTTGAGGTAGAGCGTCCACATTCAGGGAGCTGCCTCGGACTAATATCGAGGCTTCTCTGTGGTATAGACACGCTATTTTGAAATAGCTTATTTTGAAATAACTCCCAAAATAACTATTTCAGAATAATTTCCTAGTGCAGACATGCTCTCAGAGAGGTGGTTTTGTTTTTAATTTATTCATTTCCATCATTTACGGGGTTTCCATGTGCGCGCTTCCTTTCTCGCCCTGCTTTTTAATGAGGGATACCAGCTACACGTAGGGGGAAAGATTAGAAGAAGAGCCTCTGGCTATTCCCAACTTACCCCGATGGCATAGCGGTCAATTCCTGCCATTTTGGATGAATTGATCACAGTTGTTAAGTTCATTGGATCCAGGAATATTTCCCCATCTGTCAGCACAACTATGATCTTGGCAGCGTTTTTCTGGGACCCCTGGCTCTCATTGAAGATAGAATCCCTGTGAAAATTGTCATACACAGAATGAGTCTCTGGGGGCAGGGAGATGGACTGACAGAACAGCTGAGTTCCTGTGAATGTCTAGGTAATAGTTGTGCTGAGGCCCAGAGAAAGGACTTAATTCCTGAAGACTTTTCCGTTCACCTTCACACAACTTAATGACCAGATTTTTAACCCCCCTCTCCATAGTGAATTTGGTTCAGCCTCTCAGATCCCTCCTCTCATTCTTCATGCAGCACACAGTCAACCTGTGGAACTCCTTGCCAGAGGATGTTGTGAAGGTCTGGATTTTAACAGGGTTCCAAAAAGAACTAGATAAATTCATGGAAGTTACATCCATCAATACTTACTAGCCAGGATGGGCAGGAATGTTTGCCAGAGGCTGGGAATGGGCGACAGGGGAGGGATCACGTGATGATTCCCTATTCTGTTCAATCCCTCTGTAGATAAATCTATGTATTATATATATTACTTCATATGACTTGACGGTGTGCGTCTCCATATAACCTTGTAACTTTGTGGTAAAATGTCTTTTGCTAGGAGTAGAATAAGATCTGCCCCCCACTCTGTAATCAATTGCCCTGTTGAATGAATGAGGTGTGAATGAGTAAGACTTGGGAGCCAAGCACCTCCAGACAGCCTCAACAGTTGAAGAGGGGGTGGAAGCAGACCCAAGGTGTCAAGTGGGCTCAAGAAAGAAGAGCAGACATATTGACAGCCTTGGGGATTAGAAGCAGGCACCTTCTTTGGAAAACACCCTCTCTGCAGCACAAAGGGACCAATGGACATAGACCCAGATTTGGATCTGGGATATATTTGCATATGAGAGGGATGCTATAAAAGTGAGGTGTCTTGCAGAGGACCCCGGGTTTCGTCTTGTCACCATCGGAGCATCGATCCGGATCGGCAGAAGCCCAGCTCCACCCCTCCCCCATCTAACTCACCTGGCCAGTGAAGTTAAAGGGAGCAACTCGTTGGTAACTACAGCAAGACGAAGTGTGCTTGTGTGTACAACACAACAGCAAGACAGAGTATGCTTGTGTGTGTGTGCATGAGTGACTTATATATATATATATATCATATGCATATGATAAGTGTTGATTATTCTGTGTGTGATCAATAAATGTGGCATGTTGCCTTATCCCCCTGAAAAAGATCCCGAGTGCTTCTTTTAAGTACAACACCTCTGGGGCACCTGGCATTGGCCACTGTGGGCAGACAGGACACTGGCCCAGATGGATCTTTGGCCCTACCCAGTATGGCCGTTCTTATGTCCTCTACCCACTACTGTAAAGGTATGACTGGAAACTGCATCCATCATGTGCAGAGACCAACATGATGACTAGAGAACATGCCCCAGGTCCACTCAGGTCTTGGCCTCTGTGCTGAGGCTCCGAGAAGGGAATCGTCTTATCCCAGTGGTGCGTGGGATGGGGTCCCTGCTGGGATACAGGGATGGGGGCCTGTATCCCAGCAGGGACTGGACAGAGACCAATATCTCACTCCACAAAGGCCTCCTAGCCGCCCCCATGGGGTCAAGGATTTCACAGCCACAGCTGACCTGGGCTGGAGTTGGCCATTTCAGCTTAGAGCAGCGATGGACACCCTGCAGGCCACATGCAGCCTTTCTGGGCCCCGCCAGAGACAGGGTTGCCAGATCCCGTTGGTTTCCATCCATTTTTCCCCACCAGTTTTACTACAGTGACACCCCCTAAAGCCAGGGCACACGACGGGAGATACGTGATGATTCCACACCCCATTGGCTGTGAGAGCCAGGCACTCCCTCGGCATCCAATCACAGCGCTGCTACGATTCAGTCGGATCCCCCCGCACATTCTAGGTATGCCAGCGCAGTGAGCAAAACTACTCTCTCCCGGGAGACAATCTTGCGGCCCATTGAGATGAAAGAGGCCATTCATCGCTGGCTGAGAGGTTAAAAGCCCCGGTACCATTCCCATTGAGAAGAACCCGGTATCAAGCTGGTCCCATTGAGAAGAACAGGGACCAGCTTGATTAGCTCCAGTCTTGGTTCCATTCTACAGGTTTGTTTTGTGCATCTCCAGATGCTTGCCAGCTTTTCTTTTCCTTGCCTGCCGGGTGCCCGAAAGGCCAGGGGATTTGGGCTTTCACGTTGCCAACCGGCTGTCAGCCGGCCAGCTGACATTCCCTAAACCAGGAAAAGCAAGCCAGCGCACAGGTCAAAGGAGGTCAAACCTCCCAGTCTGCTGGCCTGACTTCTCTGCTTTCCCACTCCCCCGGGTATTGTAGCCTTTCGATAAGCAGGCTCACTGGGAGAGTCAGGAAGTCTCAGGACTTGTAGAATATGCTCGGGGGAGCTGACAGCCTGCGTGGGCCCTTGGAAATATGGGGGGGCAGCTCTATGCCCCCAGAAAGGGCGGAGTCTCAGGCAGACGGGGTGGAGCTGGGGCAGCCCTGCCCTCAGCCCTCAGAGCCACTTGGTGGCAATTTAAAAGGCCTGGGGTGCCGGCAATTCCCCCATCGTCCCCCAACCCCATCGGTGGGCCTGCATATGCTCAGCGTCCAGGAGAAAACGTACCTGCCTCCCAGAAGTGACCCATCTGGCCGGTTACAGGGACGTGACCCGTTCTAGGCGCCGCATGTTCACGCCGCTGTTTAGGAATTGGCTGAGAAATACAGTCTCTGCATTTCTCCTGGTGTTACTTACAGCACATGTTGGATGGCAGATGCTGTTTTGGTCACGTTGCCCAACTGGGTGATGTTCTGAACCTTCTGGAAAGTGGCGTTAGCGTTCCAGCTGTCCTTCAGGTCAAACTCTGTTCTGATCTCCTCTCCATACTGCACCAGGGCAAAATCACACTAGAAAGATGTATCAGGGAAGAGGCCAGTATTGGTAGCTGATCCAGACAATGGGGCTCTCAGAAACAACCAGTCAAGCCAATCCCAGTGAAGGGAACAGCATTCATGGGGAAAAGGGCAAATTCAGACCGGAGATAAAGCACAATTTTTAACAGGGAAACAAATTGCCAAGAGTTATGGTGAATTCTCCATCACCGACCATTTGTAAATCGAGCTTGGACGTTTTTCTAAAAGGGCTGCTCTAATTCAAACAGCGATAGAAATGTAGCCGTGTTAGTCTGGTGCAGCTGAAACAGAAAACAGGACTATGTAGCACTAATAAACCATCTTGTTAGTCTTTAAAGTGCTACGTAGTCCTGTTTCTAGTTCAAACAGGAATTCATTCAGACACTCCCTCTGGCTTGTGTTCTGCTGGAGGTCAGATTGGCTGACCACAGTAGTCGCTTTTCTGGCCTTGTAGTATAGTGTGAATTGTTTAGGGAAGGCCAGAAAGCAAACACTTTTCCGGCAGAAATCGCATCTCTATTCTCAAGAGATGAACACCACGTTTTAAAAGAAAAGTTACGTTAGTTCAGAAAAATGAAAGCCACCACAGCGAGTTCTGAATTTACTGTTCAGAGAAAGGGGAGATTTAGACAAGAACCGGAGGCGGGAGGGGTGGGGGTGAGGGTGAGTTCCTTTTGGGGTTTTTTTTTTGCCACCCATCTGCAGAAAGAATTATGTGGGATTGTAATGAATTCACCAGCGCCACTCCGCGCTGCACCATGGCTTTCCTTTGCAGCTCTCCCATTCCAGGGCTGACCCGGCCTGCCCTGGCGTGATCACCGCACAAGGTAAGCACTTCAAGGCAGGGACTGTCTCTTGGCTATATTTTTGTACAGCGCCTTGCACCACGGACCCTTGCCTGCAGGAGCTACCGGCACAACAATGATGAATATAAAGGATGTTATGTGGAAAGGTGCTAATGGCGGCCTGCGGGGGACTCTGGCATCCAAAGACCTGTATAGATTGTGCTAGAAACAGTAGCTATGCCAAGCGCTCTTTCAGGCTCCACAGAAAAAGGCAGCCCAACAGTAAAACAGTGGGAAATAATGGGGATGACTGCCCAAGGCAGAGCCAACAGACAGATCGGCAGGGTTCCCTTGGGTGCAAAGACAGGGGCTAGGATATCGGTTGCGGGACGTGGGCAGGAAGCGAGGGGAAGCCGTTGTGAGTTGTGAGGAAGCAGAGACACACACAGTTCCCAGGAGAGGCAGACTTGGGGACGCCTGCACCGGGAAATGGCCTATTGTTGTGGGTTCCCACTGTGCTCAGGGAAGCCTCTGTGTGTGCGTGTCGTGTGAATAAGCCTCCTGCACCTACACTGTATCCCTTACATCCTACCCTAACAAGAACAGCCTTCGGCTAGTCCCGCGGGCCAAAGGGGCAATGCTCATAAAGCACAGCAGCTGCCGTATTGGCAGACCGATAGCCGAAGCAGGGGGCTACCTCGAAGCACTTCTCATAGAAGGTTTTCATCATGTTGGAGATGAAAGCTTTGGCTCTTTTAAAATCCTCCGGCTCGATGCTCCCGGATCCGTCCAGCACGATGGCGATTTCCGTCCCTGAGTCTGCGGGGACAGGAGAAGGTGGCCAGGAGCTCAGAGCTTTTGAGTAGGACCCTGGTCATTCCAGCCCTTCGAGAAATGTGGCATAGAGACCAGGCGGGCACGGAGCGGCAACGCCTGCCGTTCCAGGGCCAGCGTTCAGAGGGCAGCGATCATCTGCCACGCAGGGAGATCCTGGGCTATTCTAGTTATCGGTGCAATCCCTGTGCACGGTATTTCATTGCTTACATGAGTCTTCGATCTCCTCCTCCTCCTCCGGGCCAGAGTGGATGTTGTTATTGTTGCTGTTCTGGTTTTCATAGCCGAGCCCTTCCTCTGGGAGAGAGGCAGGTAGACAGAAGAAACGAAGGGGTGGGAGGAGAAAGGAAATAAAAAGTGAAAATAGGCTTTGCAGTGGGGCCCAAAGCCAGGACCCCCTGGGGAGCTGTGTCCCCTTGTAAGCTGAGCGCTTCAGCGGCCACTCCGGAGACATTCAAACACCTCCCAGCTGATGAGCAGAGTGCCCACAGCACCCATACCTGGCAGCATGTTTCTATTGGTCGTGCGCACCAGCACATGCCTTGGTGCACATAACAAAATTTATTCTGCACATGGATGGAAAAAATTAGAGGGAACATTGGTAGGGGGCTCGCTGATTTCTGCCCTGGGGCCCTGAATTGCCGTCATTGGGCCTGAGCTCTGCAGCTCTACAAGGTGCACACGACAAGACCTCTGAGTACGGCACTCAATGGAAGCCATCTGCCCGGCACAGAGCACCGGGTCTTGGGCGCTGCTACCTCCCTCCAGTCCCTTCAAACAGGGAGCTCTAGTTGCAGGCCTCGGCCCCAGGAGCTGCAGTTGCAGGTCAGAGGAGGCAGAGTATAAAAGGAAGGGGAGGCTGGATCAAATAGGGCAGGGTCTGTCTTCTCCCCTCCAGGCTGCCTCAAGCCAGGGAAGTCTCTGGCATTCTGTTACCCCGGGATGTCAGCTGATTTGCTTTTAGTTTCGTTTCTGTGATGCTTTGGCAGAAAACGAACGATGCCTTGAACAGCCTGAGGTTTGGCGCTTTATTTACAAATCCGCGGCCCTCATCATGCCGGCGGCCTGTTACCTGAAGTCCCCAAAATACTCCTCTCCAGCACCAACAGGAAGCCGACCAAGGCCTCGTAGTCAGGCAGCTTGAACAAGTAACGGTCATCAGGGTCCGAAGCAATGAGCTGCAGCTCGTTCAGAGCCTTTTGCTTGCTGAAGGCGTCTCCGACCTACGGAGGGAAAGGTGAGCCCTAGGCTAGTCCTGGGAAGTCTTTGCAGAGAGACACAAGACTATCAAGGCTACATTTCTACCACAAAACAAGCAAACGCCCAAGAGATCCACAACTCTCCGAGCAACAGCGGAGGGAGCCGTCGCCTGCAGCCAGGAGCCTGGATTCCGGAGGGAATCCTCATTCATTCTGATTGATTTAGCTGCAAGGAAATCGCTAATCTGACCCCTCCTCTACCAGGGGGGCCAGAGGAAGCCCAGGGGCCCTAAACCAGTGCCAGCCCTTCTCTCCGAGACAGCAATTCACCCGAGTTCCTCAGCTCAGCAGGTTTACTCTGCTCCACTGTGGAAGTGCTGGTCAGAGTACAACCGGGACTGAGCAGCAGATGGGACCATGCCAGTAAATTAGCTAATTAATTAATAAGCATCCCCGGAGGAGCGCCAGGATTTACTCACACCCTGGGAGGGTGAGCGGAGGGGAGGTTGTGAGAAACACCATGGGGTTTGCTGGTAGGGCTGCCAGATGGTTTCAACAAAAATATCGGACACATTTGACATGACATCCAATCCACATCACATATGCTTTAGAAAATACTGGCCCGTTCTATTTTCTCATTCATATTTTCTCCATTTGTTTCCCGAACAGAAAGCTCAAATACTAGACTGTCTGGTTCAAAACCGGACACCTGGCCAGCCTATTTCCTGGAGTCTGCCCAGGGCCGCTCAGAATCTCGTTCATTCACAGTGAACTCTGGAAGGCTGTCTGGGTCCAGGACGTCTACGTGCATGACCTTGCAGACGATTTTCTGCAGAAGCTGCTGCTCCCTTGCGTCCTTGCCACTTCCCTCCAGCTCAGGGCCGTCCCAACCACTACGCGGCTGCGGAGAGCACTGCAAAACTGGGCACCGGCAGCCAGCTCCATCTCCTGAAACCCCCCCTCCCCCCCGCAGGCTGCGTCCTGCTCCCCAGCCGTTTCCCCTTCTGGCAGACAGAGAAAGCTGCTCGCCGCCGCGCGCGCCTCCCGCCTGCTCCCCGCAGACGACACGTCAGCCAGGCTCTCTCAGGCTCTCTCTGTCTGGCGCCTTCTCCCCTCCCCCTGCAGCGCTGGGCCCGCTCCCCACAGCTTCTGCCCTCGAGCACAGCCCCTCCCCCCCCCCCGCAGCGGGGTGTTTGTGCAGATGCTTGGGCTGCATAGCAGGGACCATGGGTGGCCCATCCACGCCCATCCCCCCTGAAGCCCTCCAGGGCTCCCCTCAGGCCCCAGCCCGGAGCAGGGTCAGTGTGCTGGGCTCACCCCCATCCGCCCGGCGCTGCAGCCCAGGCGCGAGGTTGGCGTGCTGGGGCTTACCGTGTTGCCCCCCCCCCCAGCATTTCCCTCTCCCCTGAATGCGGGGACCCCCCTGAGTGGGCCCTGCTGGCTACGCCGCTGCTGGATAGGGTACCAGAACTGGCCGGGATAGTCGGGTTCTGCACTCTGGGAGGACCAGCACTCTGACAGGTGCGACCGCGCCGGAGCTGGGCCCGCGCGTCACGGCACACGTACCCCCAGGGCGTAGCGCCGGATCGTGGCCATTGCCGGGGAGCTCATCACGTCCGACAAGCGCAGCGGGTCCAGGAAGATCTCCCCGTCGGTCATGACCAGGATGATCTTGGGCGCGTCGGTGACAGACCCGCGGCTGGTGTTGAAAATCTCATCCCTGGGGAAACGCAAACGCAGACGAACCTTATAGAACACAACACATGGGCACAGCGGCATGCGTGCGTGTGCATCAGGGGCCTGATGGCGGCTCCAGCGTGCCAGGAAGCTCCCACAGCACTAACACACGTGGAGGACACGCAGTCGTTAGTGGTGGGTTTGTGCCATTCGGGGACAGGATCACTCCATCCAGGGTAATAACCCCTCGTTCTTAAGTAGCCCTGTTCCTTAGTAGATCACATCACTGAACAGGCCACAGTCATTATCCCCATTTTAAAGATGGGAAACTGAGGCAAGGAGAAGGGATATGGCTTGCCCCAGGTCACCCATCAGGTCAGTAGCAGAGCCAGGAACAGAACCCAGGTCTCCTGAGTCCCAAACCTGTGCCCTAGCCACTAGGTCACACTGCCCCCTCTCCCGATAGGCCAGGGGGAACTGGGACTCTAATGTTCCAAAGGCAGCTGGGAGGGAACCCCTGCTTTGCCCCTTAACAACCTCTTCTGGTGGATACCTTAGACCTGATAAGCCCTGGGGGAGGCACATCCAGACCGCCCCTGCCAGCGGGACCTTTGGGCCGGGGATACCGTACGAAGGGAGGAAAGGGAGAGGCCCAAGGGGGAGATCAGAGGGTCTCGGCCGGGGGAGATTTAAGGCGAGCTATGCCCCAAGCACGAAGCAGAAGAAATCCCCGCGGGGGCGGGGGAAGGGGCGGCTCTCAAGGGTGTGAGACTCACAGCACGTGTTGCAGGGCAGACGCAGTCTTGGTCACTGAGCCCAGCTGCGTTATATTATGGACCCTGAAGAGCGCCCAGGACCGGTTGCAGCTTTCCTGCAGGTCCAATTCCGTTCGGATCTCTGCTCCGTACTGTACCACAGCAAACGTCACCTGGGCCGGGCAGAAGACCGAGGCAGAACGGGCTGAGATCTGAGGCAGGGATCTCGAGGCCCGTCTCCAAGCACCACACTTAGCATTTAGTACGGGGAGGGGGGGGGAAATGTGTGGAAAGTGTCTCCTCAGCTATCCGTGACTCCACATACAGCACAGGGGGAGTATCTGGATCCATTTTACTCCCCGTTTTCCCCCCTCTGCTTTTATCACCCGCTGGATTCTGGCAGTCCCTGTGGGGACCACCCCACAGAGAGGAGAACGTTTTTTGACTTAAGGCAAATGCGGCCGCCATCTTATCCATCCAAACGTCCGCTCTGGCCCCGTCTTTCCGGGCCCTCCCTCCATCCCCAAACACTAGGCTCACTGGAACAAAAGGGCTAGGGCGTCTGTCTGTCCCTTGAGTTGTGTTTCAAAATACCTTGGGAGTTTTCCCTGATAAGCCGTCTAGAGCACCTAGACCAGGGTGAGCAATAACCGGCCCATGGTCTGGATGTGGCTCGCCAGGGTTAGCCCCTGGCGCTGTATTTATCTGTGCCTCCGCAGGTAAGGACTCTTGCAGTGCTCATTGGCCATGGATCGCCATTCCCAGCCAATGGGAGCTGTCGGAAGCGGTGTCTCGGTCTGTGCGGCTTCCCGCTGCTCCCATTGGCCAGGAACAGCGATCCACAGCCAATGGGAGTGCAGGTGACCATATCTGCAGATGCATAACTGAATATAGCGGCGGCAACCTGCCAGGGGCTAACTCTGGAGAATTGCCACCGACTTATTGACTAAACCACCTGCAGGAATGAAAACCCCACCCCCTGCTGGTCTAGTTGCTCCTCTCCAACCAAGCTCCATACTCTTGCTCTCCTGGTCTCTGAGAGATTTTCACTCTTGTTCTAAACCCCTCCAGGGAGACAGACTGGCACAGAAGTTCTGTGGATATTTCACAATCAGCAGTGTGACAAAGTAGTCTGAAGTTTGTAGTTTGCCCTGTCACTAGCTCCAAGTGCCTGATGGTCTGCGAGCACTCGAACAAATAGCAGTCCGTCAGCACAACCGCCCTGTGAGGTACAAAGCCAGGGCAAAACGCAAACCTCCCTGCTTCAGCATAATCAAATTGAAAAGTGAGTAGGACTTAGGGCAAGGAACACAGATTCTATTACCATAATATCTCCCAAGACTTGTAGAGTGCTCAGACCACACGGAGGTAAGCGTGGCATAGAAAGAATTATCCCTATTTTACAGAAGGGGAAACTGAGGCATGGGGAGTCAGCAAACTGTTCAAACATTGACTCGGGGTAGAGTTGAGACTGGACTCCAGCTCTCTAGACTCCCAGCTTTGTGCATAACCCTGAAAACTTTCCAGTATCCGTGGGAAACCACAGCCTGTTTGTTCTCTCTGCTGAAACGTGACCAGAGTCTGAGATGCCTGCTCCCTTCAGGAGGAAGAGCAGAGCACACACCTCTGGGCATTTCCTCCAGAACCAGCTCATCATCTTGGAGATGAAAGCCTTGGCTCTTTCAAAGTCCTCCGGCTCGATGCTTCCTGATCCATCTAGCACAATGGCTATCTCCATTCCTGAGTCTGCGGGAAGAGTTAAAAATAGACATGGGAAAGGACAATGGGACATGCAGCATTACGAGAGGCTAGGAACTGCAAATTGGGAGCCTGTCATTAGCGAGAATGAAGATGAAGGGAGGAACAGAAAAGGTTCCCCCAAATTCCTACACAGTACCAGGGGCTCTGGAACCTGTGTCCAAACTTGGCATCTTCACTGGGCTTCTGTTGACTCATCTCTGATAGCTGCAGCTTCCTTGGTGCTGTCAATGTTGAGAGAACCCCTGCGGGGCTGCTGCTGCTTTTAGTCACGTCTCCCAAGCCATGATGAGAAGAGATCTCGTTGGCTTTGCACTGTGGTTCACATGTGGGCACTCCACCAGTTTGCCACATCAGTCGTGAGATGCTTCCAGGAAAGCCTCAGTTGCTAAATGACTATTCTACCATACACCTCACCACACAGCAGCCTCAGTCTGCCACCGTCAGAATGTCATCCTTTTCCCTACCCAGCTCACCCCCAATGGAGCGGTACGAGTTCTTCAGATCCCAGCTAATACACCTTTCCACCTTGCTTCCCTGACTCATGAGTCCAGCTACTGTAACCCACGCACTTTCTGAGTTTGGCATGCTGTCCCATCCAGTGACACTAAGACCACTTACAGAGGGCACATCTACACAGCAGGGCAAACGCTGAATTAAGCTATGCAACTTCGGTGATGTCAATTTCGTAGCTGAAGTCAAAATAGCTTAATTAATAGCTTCCTACACAGCAGGAAGTCGAAGGATGAACACTCTTCCTCCAACTTCCCTTCCTCCTCGTGAAATGAGGGTTACAGGAGTCGGAGTAAGACGTCCTCCAGCGCTACATTATTTTGAAATAATGGCTTGCTGTGTAGATGCACACTACATTATTTCGAAATAATGTCAGTTATTCCAAAATAGCGCTGCTGTGTAGATGTATCCAGAGAGAAGAATGAGTCTGCTCTACAGCATTGGCGGGGAGTCAGCTGGCCTTTAGCACATGTACTAAGTTTCAGAGGTCCCAGGTTTGGTTCCGCCTCTCGACGTTACACAAGCACCTACCTTTGCATGCATGGCTGCTCCTTGAATTGTTGAATGTGTTATTGCCAGCACAGCTGATACCCATGCTCCTCTCTGCACTGGTGAAGTTGTCAGCATCGGACACGTTGATGTTGTTATTATTGTTGTTGTTATTTTGGGCACTGATGTTTAGTTGGGTCTCAACTACGGAACCAAACCAAAAAAGGCAATTGAAGAGTTTTGAGAATTACATATTTTTAACGAACGTAGGTTAAAATGCAGAGACTCCCAAACCAGCACTCGGAGTAGCTTTTTAAATGCATCGAAGCACCTAGAGGTTTAAATCAGTGGGAATGGGGGTGCTTAGGCCCTTTTGAAAATCACACCTGATGCTGGCTGGAATCCTTAGTTGCCTAATGCTTTTAAAAATCTGTCCCTACGTGCGTGATCATGCAGAAGGCAGTAACAGAACATCAGTGTTCGCATTTATTCTTCTCTGATGTTCAGCCTGCATAACCCCAGTGAAATCTGCAGGGCCACATGGGTATAACAGATGGTAGAATTCAGCTCAAATGCCGGATTCCTAGATCCTCTGCGTGGGCAACAGAAGCCCCCCAGCTGGTGCCCAAAGGCGTCAGGGGAGCAGAGCTGGACCGGAACAGCTCAGAGGCAGCCCCCACGGTAACAGCCCCTCCCCACAGACAGGTCGCTCGCTTTGCTTCCGTACGGATATTGCCGAAGTTGAGGAACGCTGCCTCCTGGAATTCTGCGGTGAGCAGGGTGCAGATTCCATTCAACTCTTCTGTGATGCTGAGGGCCTGGCGCCGCTTCTTCTGCAGGCAAGCCTAAGAGGGAAGGGAGGGCCCTGCTGGTAAGTCACGTGCACCCCGACCAAGAAGGTGCAAAGAAACCAACCGGCAACACTTCAGCAATCGGGCCAGGAGACCCGTAATTGAGGCTTGTTATGTTACTGGTCTTTGTAATGCACTGAAAGACTCTTGAAAGGGAGCCGCATGGCTGCCTATGCCC